CTCACCCCCCTCCTTCCCTTCCCTTCCTTCCCTTTCCTTTTCCTTCCCTTCCCCTCCCCTCCCCTCCCCTCCCCTCCCCTCTCCTTCCTTCCTTCCTTCCTTCCTTCCTTCCTTCCTTCCTTCCTTTCTTTCTTTCTTTCTTTACAGAGTTTTTACCATGTAGCCCTGGCTAGCTTGGAACTCACTATGTAGACCAGGCTCACTTGCAATCCACAGAAATCCACCTGCATCTATCTGCCTCCCAAGCACTGGGATTTTAGGTGTGTGCCACCACACTTGACTGTGTGTGGAGCTTTGACCAAAGCCTAAATAGGCTCATATGGTACTGATGGTTCATGATGATAACTCAGAGAAGACATTAATGAGGATCCCTTGAAAAGAAAAGAGTCTCAGTGGGAAAAGGCAGGGTCTGTGCCCCCCAAAAGATGATATAACTGCCTGTAGTGAGTGTGGAGGGCCTGGAGGCCTGGCAGAAAGCATGGGGTTTGTTCCTAGGTTCAATGACAAGAACTCTGTTTAGAGCTGATCTGCCATTGGCCACACTGGAGAGAAGTGTGCATGCTGTTTTTATTGCCTTTGATAAAATCTGGAAGCACATCTTCCTTTGAGAAACTGTGAGAAAATGAAATTCCCCACAATTAGTGACCCTGGGAAGGACTAGCCTCAGCAAGAGGCAGCTGGAAGACCTCTGCCTCCCAGACAGCCACTCCAGAACACTATGGCCAGCTAAGAACGGCATTAGGTATGGGCTCTTTCTGTGGAGCTAACTGCTCTGTATGTGAGTTATACATGTGTGCATCTGTGCATATGCATGTGTGTATGCATGTATAGGTGTAAGCATTTCACCTGTGCATGTCTGTGGAGGCCAGAGGTTGACATTGGCTGTCTTCTTCAATTGCTCTCCAGTATGTATGTATGCATGTATGTATGTATGTATGTATGTATGTATGTACGTACGTACGTATTTTGAGACAGAATCTCACTATGTAGCCCAAGCTGGCCTGGAACTCACAGAGATCTGCCTGCACCTGCTGTGCAGGGGCTGGGACTAAAGGTATGCACTGCCACCTGTGGTACCACTTTATTTTTTGAAATAGGGTCTCTCACTGAACCTAAACTTAGCATTCTGTCTAGGCTGGATGGCCAGCAAACATCCAAGAATTTGCTGGGATTACAAGTGTGTACCACCATGCCTGATCCTGATCTCCACAACCCCTATGAGTTATCCATGTAATGCTTTGATGAGAAAGGAAGACTCTTAGCCTGTACCAAGGGCGGAGCAAACAGAAGGACATGCACAGGGACTAGAAGATAGTCAGGGCAGCATTTCAAGGTCTCAGCAAGTGCTCTTAAGGGGCCTCTTCATTCTGTTCTTCCACTAGACCTTTCTCCAGAAAGGATCCCCAAGTTGAAACTGACAGACACAGGGGACTATGCAGAGAGAATCTGCTGGCTGCTTTGGCCAAAGTGGGAAGGTGTAGCTGTGCATACTCTAGTTTCTTGCAG